TTGAAGATAAACTAAACTCCGAGAGACGATTTCTTACTTATACTTAACCCTAAATTCAATAATGACCGTTGGGGAGAAAAAGAAATAGGGGCGCGTGGATTACACTCTCTGATTTCGCGAATAGACACAACCCTTGAGAACCGCGCCTTTCAACAGCAGCTACGTGGCCTATGAAAAGTAACTGTTGCCCCGTCAGCGAACGTTACAATTAAGTCTAGCAAGTTGTGCCGTTTCAACTTCCGGTTCCATTTCCCGCCCCAAGTATTAAGATATCGGGGAACAGCACCAACAACCGACATGTCTGCTCAAGACCACAGATTCTATGATACTTTTCAGCATCAATGCCCGTCTTCTTTCAAGACACCCATTAATGCTGGGGGCCACCTTGTTGATATGGTTTTCGGTAAACCAAGTTATTAATACTCATTGGCGTTCAAAGCTCGACAATTCGAAGATTATGTTATCTCATAGGATTGATATACTTGCAAATCTCAAGTAGTAACACATCGGATAAGAATGAGCCAAGAACCGACGTCCTCATCAAGTAAACTGATATCACATATCGGTTTAAACATAATAAACCGATATCTATGACATGTCAAGCCGACATCATAAAGGCGGTGCCAGCTCATCAAAATCATCATTATGCATTGCCAAGTGGCGTGCTACGAGAATGAATGGCGATTGGCCGCCATTGACTTTTCCGGATTAATGATTGTAATTGTGATAATGTTGTAGGGGAATATAAAAGAAAAAGAAGAAGCTTCCCAGGAGGCAGGACAGAAAAATATGAACGATCACATTCAATAAACTGTGTATTTATCATCTTTCCATAAGTTGAATCTTTCTGAATAATCGACGCAACTTTCGTTGAATAACCCTTGTTAATTCCCATATAACAACAACCTGTTACACATTTTTAGTATATTTGAAGTATATATTTGGTGTATGTCAGGTAAAAAGTTCCCAAAAAAAAAACCAACAAAAAATAAAATAAATAACTAAAAAAAACCATTAACACTTACAGAATATCTGGCTGCTATTTTGTAATTAGTTTCCAACATACTATGTGGCTTCTTTGCAAGAGTAGTAAATGTGCCTTTGGCTTCATCCTTGTTTGCCACATTCCATCTCTGTTGCATTTCTCTAAGAGCCTCTAGTAGTGTTGTTATCGGTAGGTCACGAACAGTTCGAATGGCAGCATTTATTGACTCAACAACATTAGATGTCATGGTAAAGTATCTATTATTGGGGAAATGAACTCGTGCCCACTTTTGAATACCAATTTTTTCTAGATACGTTACGACATTCGTATTCAACTTCATTATTTGAGACATATGCATATTGAATTCCTCTACGGTATAGGCCCTTGCTGCTACAAAAAACTCCTCTTTTACTGCTTGTGCCTCAGTCTATAATGCATCTTCAATTTATTTGAGATATGATAGGTGCATAAACAATGCGCTGCATTGGGGAATACCTATATAAATATAATTGATGATTGATCAGATTATGTAATAGTTAATATATATATATATATATATATATATATATATATAAACAATGCACTGTTCATTGTATTATCGGTATATGTACCAGTAAATATACTCAATTATAACTCAAAATATACCATTACCTGTTCAACAGCGTGTCTGATGCTTTCGTGACCATCTGAAACAATGCATAGACCAACCCTCTCACCGATAACAGCTTGCAATTTTGTGAAAAAGCCACATGTATGAGTGGTTATTTTCCGAATCAACAACACTAAATGCAAGTGGTAAAATGTGAGAATTTGCATCTTGACAACATGCTGTTAACAAAAGTCCCTCGTATGCCGAAGTCAAAAATGTGCCATCGACAATAACAATTGACCGACAATGGGCCCATCCTTTAGCAGATGCTCCAAGAGACATGAAAACGTACAAGAAATTCTTCTCTGGAGTGGTGCTCACCTTAAAAATGCTACCCGGATTTGATGCACGTACCTTCAAAAGATACTGATGAACATAATTGTAAGAGTCATTAACTTTGCCCCGTACTACATCAATAGCTTTCCGTTTCGACCTCCACGCTTTTTGGTACGTCAAATTTATCCCAAAACGAGTTTTCATATCGTCAACGATATCAAAGGGATTATATGTTGTCTTCGTGTTCGCAAATTTCGTCTTGATAAAATCGCTAACAACGGTTGAGGTCGCTTGACTCTGGTTACTTGTTCGAACATCAAACGGATATATATATGTTTAGTCCCGACAGCTCTTATTTTAAAGGTGTTTGACTTACCCAAGCGTGATGCTCTCACAAACCATGAATAATCATTCGACACACACCTTACAGAGTATTGTTTGGAGCACGACTTCTCCACCCTGAATTGATACTAGTTTTTAATAGCATGCATGGTCAACAATTTCTGAAGCTCTTTTTTATCCTTTAGCAAACGACCAACAACAATACCATAGTCAACATTTTCTTCTAATGTCACCCCCATCTCACAGTCAGGGTATATGTTGAGTATATTTTCGGTATATGCGACAGCTTCTACCATATCTGCAGTAACGTTCCTTGCGAAAGTCATGAAATTAAGCGACTCATCTTCGACATCAGGATAACTGTCAAGATCCGGATAACTCAAAGGTGCAATATTTGACTCGTAATTCATAGTAGACATATTCCGTTCAATATCCAACGACTTTCCAGCAACACTATGAGCCTTCACCTCCAAGCAAATAGGAAACTTCGTGTAGTCATCGTCTTTGGACCTCAAGAAAAAGTAGAACTCAAGGCTTCTATCGTTTTTTATGGCTATTGGTGGACTCCCTTTCTTCAGTTTGTATTTCAGTTCGACTACAGAAGATTGGGACATCACCCTGAACTCATCAGATAATGTACCACATAAATCTTTGAAGTTGCAATCCTTCCTTATCAACACACCAGTCAAATTGTAATTCACATACTCGTTTTGGATCCATTCACCCCCATGCTGTACGAAAATCATCATACTCGACTCCATCTACATACCAAAAAAAAAAATAGCGACAAACATAGTATATGTTTGCTGAACAAAAAAACTTTAACGACACCGAGAAAATTACATAGATATACCTCGACCGGAGTATATGTTTGCTGAATTATTGATTTGCAGAATCTCGGACGGGTTGCAGAAACTCCAAATTGGATTAAATATTAAGCGGGTCACGATGTTCTCTGTGTCGGTATATGTTCTGTGAATTTTTTTTTCTTCCGTCTCGATTTACAGAACTCTTTCCACTCTTTCTGATTTCAAACATCATATCGTTTCCATAAATTGAGGGATGATTCGAATTTGAATTGAAGATTAATTTTTTTTTTCTTGTTTCTCCTGGTAGACATGGCTGAAATCACGGGACCTTCAGCTGGAGTGGTTACGTTACCTTGTAACTGCTTTTGATGCAATATAATAAATAAATTAGTTTGTTTAGTATAGTTGTAAATACTTTCATATAAGGGTAAAATCGAAAATATTTAATTATCTTACCGCATGGATAAAAATTTCCCTTAATTAAATGGTTCCAATGGGCCGAACTCACTCGTCATTCCAAGTTTAATTAAAATAGTCCTTGATTTTTGACATATAATTTTATTTTCTCTCTCATTCAATTTAATTTCTAATAACAATAATAATAAATTATTATTGACTATAAAATTTTATTTTTTTTATTTTTCATTTCGGACATAGTTCTCCTCTGGTCTTTTTTTTT